ATTATAGTCATAGAATTTTCTATCTCTGACTGACATCGAACAAGTAGAAAGAGTATAAACTACTCCGCATCACTTTTAATGATAATTAATATAGATTAAGTTTGTTTCCGTAAGGATAGATCGTGTACAGACCAAATCGCAACTCTACGGATCATTGTGGAACAATCAATTGAATGGAATTCATCACTCTACATCAACTTCATTGACTACGAAAAGGCATTTGATAGCGTGGACAGAACAACACTATGGAAACTTCTTCGACACTACGGTGTGCCTCAGAAGATAGTCAATATCATACAGAGTTCATATGACGGATTACACTGCAAAATCGTGCATGGAGGACAGTTGAGAAAGTCGTTCGAAGTGAAGACCGGTGTTAGGCAAGGTTGCTTACTCTCACTCTTTCTCCTGGTGATCGACTGGATCATGAAGACGTCAACATCTAAAGGGAAGCACGGGATACAGTGGACATCTAGGATGCAGTTAGACGATCTAGACTTCGCTGATGATCTGGCCCTTCTATCCCAAACGCAACAACAAATGCAAGAGAAGACGAACAGTGTGGCAGCAGTAGGTCTCAATATACACAAGTGGAAAAGGAAGGTTCTCCGATACAACACAGAATGCACCAATGCAATCACAATTGACGGAGAAGATTTGGAAGATGTAAAAACCTTTACATATTTGGGCAGCATCATTGATGAACAGGGTGGATCTGATGCAGATGTGAAGGCGCGGATCGGCAAAGCAAGAGGAGCATATTTACAACTGAGGAACATCTGGAACTCAAAGCAACTGTCAACCAACACCAAGGTCAGGATTTCCAATACAGATGTCAAGACAGTTCTACTGTATGGGGCAGAAACCTGGAGAACTACGAAAGCCATCATCCAGAAAATACAGGTGTTTATTAACAGTTGTCTACGCAAAATACTTCAGATCCGTTGGCCGGACACTATTAGCAACAACGTACTGTGGGAGAGAACAAACCAGATCCCAGCGGAGGAAGAAGCACTGGAAGTGGATAGGACACACATTGAGGAGAGCACCCAACTGCGTCACAAGACAAGCTCTCACATGGAATCCTCAAGGCCAAAGGAAAAAAGGAAGACCAAAGAACACATTACACCGAGAAATGGAAATAGACCTGAGAGAAATGAACAAGAATTGGATGGAACTAGAAAAGAAGGCCCAGGACAGAGTGGGTTGGAGAATGCTGGTCGGCGGCCTGTGCTCCATTGGGAGTAACAGGCGTAAGTAAGTAAGTTTGTTTGTAAGTAGTTTCGTTATTATTCATACTTCACATAGTCTGACTTTATTTGCACCACAAGAATGTATCCATATATATATATATGGATACATTCTTGTGGTTTGACTCACTCATCATAATACTAGCATGATCGCATCATTTATACGAATTTAACTGTAATAAACATGTGTTAAATGGTAGTCGTCTACCATGATCTTTTTACCTGACAGGTTAACAGAATGAGATTAACTTAGTCTTAATTTTTACAATCTCGAGCAAAATGGCTTTCCAAATCTACAAGGTATATTATTTTCGTTGTTTGTACTTGAAGACAAATTATAATATAGTTCATTTTGTCAAGAAATAGAACGAAAACTATTTTTAGTTGAATACTCTATAGGTGAGAAAAAAATTCAAAAAAAGGAAACATGTATACGAAATAAGAGAATGATCTGATCCGTAACAAACTCTACGTTATAGTTATCAATTCGATATCCTGTAGCACATGAATGAAGTTAAGTATGAAAATCAGTTTGAGATTTAAATTCTTCTGAAAAGTTCAACACAGACAGATCACTAAAGATCGATTAGTTAAATGAAATCAGAGGACGAAAAAACGGACTTTATTTAACTAGAAAATTACTGACGTTTCAGTCGGTCAATCATAATAAAAACATATTCAGAAGAAAAATAATGATAATAACTAAGATTCAGTAACAAAATACTAAATATTTAGAAGATTCACAAAACACCAAGGAATAATTTAAAGTGAATAACTCATTTTGAAGAGTGGTGAGAGTATAATTTATGGACGGCCTTTGATCGATGCTAAAGTGACCTTGAGAGTGTCTAAATGAGATTTATAAACCTGTGTGAGGACTTCGAATTGTGATTTACAGTTGACGATTAAAGTTGAGAATATTATTTAGGGTTTTTATCACGAACTGACATCAGCTATAATGCCAATACTTTATTTTGCCAAATTGATGAATGAATTGCGCGCCAAAATCTAAGACCTGTTATCGTAAATCTGATCGGTTCGGCCATAAATTATAGTCTCGCCTGAAGAGCATAACTAAGTAACTGTGAAGTTGCGAATGCTCATCCATAAAACGAGTATGTATCGATATCTTGCATTATGTTATAATAATCTGTTTAGATCTCAACAGATAATGATCTTTATCATCAGTATGATATTACTGTGAATAGTCTGCGTGTCTTGAATACACACTAATATTTGGTAGGATTTCAGTATCATTTACGAGATATCTCACTTTATTTTAATATCAGATAGATGAATACAACTGTAATGATGTGTATTTATTTGTCAAAACTATAGTAAGTGTGATCAATCCTCCGTTAATTGTGATATTCACAGAAATATTTCATAAATCTTATGAAACCTTAATTGGAGAAAGTTGTATTGTATTAGATTTATACAACTGCTGTCGACAACTACAGATTCAACCTTACCATGGTCACTTTACAATATAATACTAAACTGTCTGAATTATTAAATGATCACATTTTTCTAATTTAATGTACATAATTAAACTGTGTTTGGTGCGAGAGCCAATGATACTACTGATAACTGACTAATTAAAATTAGCTTAAGCAGATTATGTAATTGTAATCTATCAACCGAAAGCTAAACGCTCAAATCATTTTACTATTCACTTCTCTATATGTTTTTAATAAATGAGCTAAGAAACTTATTGTACAACAGTAGAATTAAAGTAAAAGTACACAATCAAGAAAATATTGTTATCAAATTCACTGAAAATGAAAGACTAGAAACTTAAAATAATCTAGCTAAAAACATTGAAGAGTATCAGAATAGATTGGAAAACAAAAAATGAATGAACGAAATTAAAGACACGGTAACTATTTTCTTTAGAAAATGTTATTAATTAGTAAATAAGATCTTTCGTCTAAATTTATCGGATAGCTCCACAGTATTTAGGCGCCGAGTTGATGTGAGACATTAAAGAGGAAGAATGTTATTAATGATTATTTCTTGTGATTGACATGCAGTTAAGAAGAAAACAAGTCAAAGTTTATCACATAATTAATGTTGTGTCATATTTATTTATTTTAACACATAGACATTGGTACAATGAGGCACCAAATACATATGCGCCACACAAATCTCATTAGATATGTGTGAGGGCTGTGATACTGCCCGGGTGCCCAAACCGAAGCAGGTGGTTTTCTTAGGGGGCCACTATCTGAGCCTTCGACCTGAAGGTTTGATCCACAAGGCAGTGGAGCATCGTAAGAAGATGCAGTCCCATGGAAGCCGGTGGCCAACAGTTGGTTCATACGCCATTTGTTCCCGCAAGATAATGGAGACCATGTGCACCATTGTTTTGGAATCCGGTTAAAGCGCCGGATATTCGCTTTTCGTCCTCTCATTTTCGTAAACAAAACCCTTGCCACGAGGTAGTGAATAGGACTTCCCTGGCTATATACGCGTGGCCATGTGAGAGCATTTCGAGAGGGAGAGCCGACTCTCCCCACTCTCGGCCGTACCAGGGAATTTGAGGGGATGTTGTGTCATATCAAAAAAAAGTTAATAAACATTAGAAAATTTGCGGTTTTAGCAATTTGTACTTGTTTTATTAAAATGAAGTAATCATTAGTTGTATGGTATACTGTACTTATACTATTAACAATGTTTATCAATTGTAAAATGAATTCAGTTATACATTTTTAGGTTTAATAATTTGTAGTAATAAACAAATAATAATAGATATTCTATAAGATAAATGGAATGTAACGAACTAAACGTTTCGTCGTATTTTGAACGTGTCATCTGAATATACCTGAGTCTTGGAGTTGATGTTCACTGAAGGGTGCACAAATTCAGGACCACTTACCTCAAACACTCATCGCGTTTTCAACTGAGTCCATATAACCAACTACTCATATCTATAACAGTTATGTATTTTATTCCCATTTGTAATGGTTCTTAAATTATCTCATTGTTGAATGATCAAAATCTAGTAAAGAAATACCAACGAGATAAGCCAACAACCACTTCACACTGAATGACAGTTGATAGCTCTGTCTTTTATGACTAATTCAAATGAAGTTTAGGAACTGATCCAATGATTAAACATTAACAACCTAATCATATCATCCATCCTAGTCATTTTATCAATAAACTGGGACATCTTACAAAAAAGAAGGGTAATTATCCTTGTTAAGCCAATTATAAGAAGAACTTATATTCAGTACAATAACAAGTACATTTTCATATACTAATTACGTAATTCGGTACTTCAATTGACTTCATTAATTATTCTTTAAACTAAGCAGCTCAAACAAATGAATTACTGATATCTTTTTTCTTATAAAAAAAGCATACACTGAATACTTTACTCGGATATTATATTGTTTAATTAAATACATAGAGTTGCTTCTTTTCCCTACTATTTCTTGTGCACAAAATCGATTTCCTATTCACAATTCATATAAATGCTGTTAATTAATAATAATAATAAAAAAGAGAACAACATTAGAATACGGTTCTTTCTACATAATGATCTGTACACATTTCAATCATACAAACACCCCATATATATATATATATATATATATATATATATATATATAATATAAATGATTTGATTCAACATTGATTAGCAAAAGCAATTCCGAACAATATTTATAAATATGTACACATTTAAATGAGATTTATAACAAATACTATGAAAGCATAACTATCTTCTGCATTCGTTTCTATTGCTTAAATTATAGAATTATTTTTAATACAATGATGATTTCTTAACCATACATCAAATGCTTCATGACATGCACGTATAAGACATTCAGGTGAACAAAATAATCCATCTAAACGTGGATCATCTAGAACTGCAGGTTTTGTACATGGACAAAATGGTATGAAATTTTTTTCATCATGAATACTATTGTTAGTATTATTATTATTATGATAATGATGATTGGTAATAATAGTTGTATTATTGGTCAAAGTATCTGATTTCAAGGGAAGGAATGTAGACAAAGGTAGATCATCATCTTCATCAACTGAATTTACATTATTGTTTTCCATAATATCTGAATCATCAGATGAAGAGAATGAAGCCTGAAATATGAATAAAATGTAGAATTTATGAGATACATTAATAGGTAAATTCAAAAGACACTGAATGGATAAACGAATATAGCAGGAATGAACTACTCGAAATAATTTGATATTAAACACGTTCCAGATATGCGTGCAATTGTGTTCGATAACCGTCCGGTTACAGACCTTACACTAAATGCTGTATTTCAAACTGGAGTATCCATATATTTACTTGATTAGTGATATGAAGCACACAACAAATAATTCAGGTAATTAATTTGTGTACCGCTTTCCACCAATAATGAAAACAAACACCAAAAATATATGTTTTAATTTGGATGGAGGAAATTATAATAAATTTAAGACAATTAAACATTATTTAGGATTGATTCTGATTACAAATGTATTCTGAATAAATCATAATTATATATTTCCTAAAGCTATTTGCAACATTCTTATATTCTTAGTGTTAAATCCTGAACTGGCTTTAGCTAAACCACCAGTAGAAACTTGGAGGCATTAGATGATTGTTTTGTCCTGGTAAGGGACTCCTCAACAGCTCATGACTTAAAACTGTGAATATACTACAATTTTCTCAAGTGATCTTCATATTTATCAAATGTGTTTTACTCAATACTTCTGATCATTTTTTTCAGTTGAGTGCTTAGAATAACCGAGTTATTATCATTAAAGATATCATCTTAAGCCGTAATTTTTAGTATGTGAAATTTCCATCCAGTAGATTTGGCTATACTATCACATTGAATGTATCTGTAGAAGACAGTTCTAGATAACTCCAACCTATTCTAACAGATTTTAGAAAATGTACAAGTCATTATATTTGGAATAGTAAATTAAACTTTTAAATATGATTGTGTGATTATAACCAGATAGTCCGATAATGAAATATATAACAATATATTTTGACTAATCTTTAACAAAATTGGTGATAAGTTGTGTATTAATCATATTGAGTCATGAATGAATTGTGAGAGTAAATTATTGAGTTCTACAGTCAGTCAGTCAGTAACAACGTAGGACCTCGTACGTATGTACATCAGTTCGAGTTGCCATACTACAGTAGAACATAAAGAAATTAATTAACTTAAAGTAATGAAGAAAAAAATTATTCATTAATACAATTCAAATATATCAACTCAGATCGTTAGACAAATACAGTGTTCATCACAAATTAGATATGAGTGAAGTTGTACACACGAATAGTTGGATTCCGCAATAAAAATCTTTGGCGCTTACAGGAAGACCTGGAAGTTTGTTCATTGTATTTACTAAGGGAAATGAATCAAGTGAGTGTAGTTTTGATTATTGTTGGGATATTCAGGAAAATATCCCAAAAATTATCCTGTTAAGCCTAATGCTATCCTTGGACATGAAATGGTATCATCTTATTGGCCAATACTTGTTTGACGTGTCATTTTCCTACTGGCCATTATTGTACAATGTTATTTTCTATTTTATGGGACGTTGTGGTCTGCTTGACTGGTATATAAACAAAGTATGTTTGGAATATAATGATTCATATATCCGAGGCTGAGACTTGTGTTCTGGACTCAATTGGCTGGGCTAGACAGGGAAGCGAGACCAATCAGAACCCTAGGTCGTTCTACGTGTTTGCGCGTCTTTGGTCCGATCAATAATTCGCTACCCTTAATCAGCAGTATTTTTCGCGTCATAACAATTATTAAACTCAAAAACATCATCAACACTCAAATTACGTTGACAGAGTTAAAAATGAATCAATCGATAGTCACTAACATTTAATTTATTGCTGAATTAATCTTATAAAAATCACTTTTTATCAGGTATTTAGACTGACTGGGTTGGAATCGTAATTGTTTTATTATTGTGAACTGTCTGAACTTTGAAATGTGAACTAGTGTGGAGATCTCGACTCAGAAGTCTGTAAGTACGGTGATTTTTGTAACAACACTTTTTTGAATAAAAGTTTGATCCCTAAAGACAATGTAACTTTTCATAATTTTATTTGAAAATCAAATACAGTAATAAACAATAGTTAATATGACGTGTGTAAAATAGTATGATTCAACGTGTGCTAATTTGAATCGATACATAGATGCACTACGTTCTATGTTTCATAAGACTGACCAATATATAAATACCACCATTAGTATAATTGTGAGCTGAAATTTTAGAAGTATGGGTTTAAAATTCATATCAAGAAATGAACTATCATACACCTTTTCCTTTAGATTATTACTGAAATGATGATTACTGTAAATAAAATAACCCTTTATTTTTAAAGGAGAGAAAAAAAACACTAGACAATGTATGTTGACTGTAAAACTGGAATTTTAATAAGCAAAAAAAAAATAGTTTCGCTAATTAACACACAATAAACACGTGAAAGAAATGGGGACTAAGTTTGAGTAATGACAGTTGCATTATGTTGATCAGATTTTAACCTTACGAACTAATAAATAAATTGGAAACCCTAGTTGTTAAATTTTATTATTTACAAACGGATGACTTTAGACATGTACACACACACAAAAGCGAATATAATTAATAGGTAAATCATACTTGAAACTTGTACCCTATCCACGTGTGTAGAATGAGGGATAAAATCTGTTACTTATCTATAATCGACACTGATCATAAAGAAATAGTAAGAAATAGACTTTTCAGTTATGTAAATGACTCAGCCTCTTGAAAGTTAAGTTCAAAGGGATATTCCGGATACTATTAATGAAGTTAATTATGATAACGATTAGTAATTTTTCGTTTCACTATGAAGAAAAATTCACTGGGAAAACATAAAATTCATGTACGATAATTAAGTTGTATAATTATATTCGAAGAATACTACTTAAATACTGAATATAAGTCAGTTTATTTAACACATAAACATTGAAACAAGGAAGCACCAAACAGATATGCGCCACATAAATCATTCGATTTATGTGAGGGTTGGGGTACTAACCGGGTGCCCAAACTGAAGCAGGTGCTTTTCTTAGGGAGCCCCACACACAGAGCCTTTGACCTAAAGGTCTGATCCACAAGACAGTAGAGCAACGTTAGGAGATGCAGTCCAATGGTAGCCGGTGAAAAACAATTGGTCCATACGCCATTAGTTCCTTTAGAATCCTGGAGCCCATGTGCACCATTGGTTGGGGACCAGGGTTTTTCAACTCCCCTAGGTGGATCCTCCGTATCCGCTGACACGGTTAGAGCGCCGGATATTCACTTCGTAAACCACACACCCGCAACGAGAAGGCAGTGAGTAAGACTTCCCTGGCAGTGGTGGTATGCACATAGCCACTTGAGAGCACTTTGAGAGGGAGAGCTGACTCTCCCCACTCTCGTTCTTACCAGGGCAAATATAGATTTGAACACAAGGTTTTCATGTAGGCTTATTACATCAGGACCAAAGACACCATTCGACTAGATAATGAAGATGAAATACATTTAGAAGTTGTGACTCAAAACACACTCACATACAACAGTTCAACATATTGTGTTAATTGTAGGTAGTTGAGAGGAATCGCTTGAACTGATTTTTTATCAGTAATGAAAACGGAACTGCAACCTTGAGGTAACTGATGCTCTCTGTCAGAGTCTAGCACACACCATCCAGCTTACAATCTGAGACTTTACCACTAGGATATTTGGGTCGAGACTAACCTACTGTACCACTGGTATTTGCAATTGATTGGTCACTAATCAGTGAATCGATCTCATAAAGCTGTATTTTGAGATGGAATTCGATTATTAGAACACAGGAATATTTCTTGCAAGATATAGGATACATCTTCCTGATAAGCGTCATTGAGTACAAATACTAATTTGTTTCTTGTACACTATACCGACTTAATCAACGCACATCAAATAATACAGGATCAAGCTGATATGCTGTTTAGCTTAATGACCATACAATATATTCCTTAGTGTAAAAAGGTATATCGTAACAAAGGATGATAGCATTATGTTAATAACTATATTTTGACTAGTAACTACTAACTTTAGAATGTTCGATACAAGTCATACCATACTTTGTAGTTACATCACTCGATGATAATACAACTTCCTAACTATTTTTACAAATCTCACTAGGAATTTCATAAGAAGTTATTCATATTACAGCTGAACTACTGCGTTGGATTAATGTAGTATGTCTTGTGGTAAATAATTTTAATAAGTATATTGATAAAAAGTTTGGTTCACTAACTTAGATGGACCTTATAAAACTAGACAAGATTATGTTGTTGACAAAATCAAGTTAACTAACCTATATATTCTGATATTACTCATGATATATCAAACAATCAAACAAATGTTTTTAATAACTGACATGAAGTGTGAGTTTATGTACTTTCAGTCATACTGCTTATGTGTGGTCTAGTAGTGATAGTCTTCAGATACTCAAACCGAATTAGGTAGAACGGTGTTTGAAACTAAGGTTTGTTAGTCGATAATAGTGTTTTTTGTACTATATACGTGATAGTAACTATGGGATTTGAATATTTAACGCACAAGTAACAGAACTAATTTGGCACATTCTCTCAATATACAAAATATTCTAAACAACAATAGAATTATACGCCTGAAACCTGTGATAACCTTGATATAATCACACTTAACGAATTGTATCTGAATAGTTATTAAGTGCATAACAGAGCGTGATATTTATCTGATTGTTTGTTCAGTCAAAAATGAACACGCTGAAATTTGGAAAAATAGGATACATAAATACGACGTACATGTTCTACTACTAATTATGTATTTTTATACGTTTTTCAGAAATCCTCTCTAAGTTATGGATTGAGCTTTGAAATTTGTTTTCATAAATATTGAGGCTAGACGATATTTTGGAAGTGATTCAGTTTAGTTCTAACTTTTATTATTATACAGACACTAATCAGAAGTATTGGTAAGTAAGGAATATTGGATAGGCCTTTAACGTCCTAGTTTGAAACCGTTCGTCAATACACGCTAAGTGGACGTACACGGGGGATCGAACGCAAGAGCTTTAAGTCTCG